GCTGGAGACGCCGGGGGGGCCAGACTGGGCCGCGCCTCCTCCCCCCCCACCTTACCTGCTTCAGGCTTCCCACGAATCAAATGTTCGCAGGAACAGGGGAGGGGGCGGAGTTGGGGCGGGGACTTTGGGGAAGGGGTGGAGTTGGGGGCGTGGGCGGGGCTGGGGCGGGGCCCCGTGGAGTGTCCTCCTTTTGGACACTGAAAATATGGTAACCCTACCAGGATGGAGACAGCAGAACTGGCACATGCTTTAGAAGGGAGCGTCTGGTATGTGGGCTTCTGAGAGAGATTGGCTGCTGGGCCCAGCCAGCATGCTCAGTATGTTGAATACTAATCCTCCCAGGACCCAGCGAAGGAGATTCTTAGGGAAGGACAGAATCCAGGGATGGTTGGGGAGAGGCCGGGGCATTCGTACGGACACTGGTTGCAGGGGGATCATAGGCTCGGCACACAGCGTCTGGAACAGTGCGTGCTGCAGGGCAGAGAGCCAAAGCCCTCAGGAAGCTGTGGGCTGCCTCAACCGTGTTTATTCGGGGAAGACTGGCCAGCAGTGGAGGGCGCGGCATGTGGTAAAGCGTCAGGCAGCTGCGGCTCAGTGTACGCTGGGAGCAGAACCCAGAGTCCATGTGTAGTCTCAGAATCAGACGCAAAGCTCTGCATGCTCTTGTCTGTGCTTAAGGATCAGCTACGCCAATTGCTGAACTGGGGCTATTCCCCAAGGCCCAGGACACAGCCGGGATGGGGAGGGAGTTCTATTTCCCCATTTACCAGGCTCTCTTCTAGTCGACACTGAACGAGGACATGAGCTGATCATATTCCTGTAAGGAGCATGAGCCGTCTCCGTACTGGTGAAAGGTGCAGGGACTTGGCCAGTGCATGTGGGGGCTTTAATATAGGGACAGTCTCATCCACACAGGGGAAGTTCTCCTAAAGGAGCAGCATTCCCTTTGCTGGGTACCATGGGCTGGACAACGAAGGAACCCTTCTGCTGGAGGATTGTAACGTCAGCAGCTAGTGGGGGTCAGTACAAGGTATAGCTACCAAAGGGCAGGAGATTCTCCCCGCTGAAACACCACTTCGCCCCGACCCCTTTTAGCACCCCATGTCCCCTTAGGTTAGGGAGCGTGGTGCACACTCAGTGCCCGTGCATGGGGCTGTTTGGCCATCAGGAAGCTGCATCTCAAAGCCTCATTTACCCTGATCTGCTAGAGCAGAGGGTCCCAGAGGCAGTTCCACTGAACTGGCGACCCCAGAATGGAAGGGGCCCCATCCATGGGAAACCCAGCACCGGGTAAGCCCTGCTTTGGCAGGCTGACTGCAGAGCACCTGTGGAGCTGCTGTTTCTAGGACATCCTTGACAGCTACCAGAAAGAGTGTTCTAACGAGGAGAGAGACAGCCAGCCACTGTCGCTTTAGTGCTGCCGCTCAGAGTCACCTCACTAGCTGTAGCAGCGGGCAGACCTTAGCAGCGGGAACCAACCAGAGACGCTATGACCAATCTATATAAAGTGCTGGGTTCAGGAGACACTTTTTGATAAATTAAGTGGAGGCCAGATCCCCTCTGGAGGAGTCTCCAGCTCTCCCTGCCTTGGAAGCGCCATCATCCATGTCACCCCTCCTGGCAGCAAGGGGGGCTGGTCAAGGTGCCCCTCCAGAAGCAGTCACAGCAGTCCTTGAGTTGTTCAGAGGCCAGTACCCTAAAAGGGACTTACACCGCAATCAGCCTTCTCTAGGTTCCTGGATAGCAGTGGAGTCATGCAATGCTCGATTCCCTAGCCTCTAATGCCAAAGCCTCCCTTGCACAGATCCTTCCACCATTCGATTCATTTTATCACTGGTTGCACCTGTCCCTTAAGAATCTGGTTTTAAGGGGCTACAAAGACCATGCTCCAAACTGAAGAGCAGATACAGGGAGAACTCTGAAGGCTGAATGTGAGGGTGCAAACCCTAATATTTTCCTCCACTAGCAGGGACCCCAGAAAGATCAGATCAAATGAGGGGAGAGAACAAAAGTTGTAGAAGACAATGAATCCTGTACATTATCGAAAAGGAGGATGGAAAAGTAAGGACTGGGGGTACATGGCTTCTTTAAAAGGAAAAAACAGGGTGTTAAATTAACAATAGAAGTTTGGGTCTAATCTACCAGCTTTTCCTGGAAGACCCAATGGATGGAGAACTTGACAGAGGACTACATCACAAGCACCAAGGACGTGAAACCTGAGCACTGAGAAGTGATTTGCATTCAGCCCACTGAAAATGTTGGTTTTGCGCAACAGCAATTTAACCTGAAAGCCTAACAAACCGTGGGAAGTAACGTTCTTTGGTAACTGTTTGGTACCTTCATCCAAAACCCCAACCTGTTCAATGAAGGGCTGAGAAAGCTCCCATGTTAGCTCTCTGGTCCTCCGTGAGGACTGCAGCATAAGACAGGAAGAGAAGGCTAGATTGTCATGATATTTGGGGGGAGGGGGGAGGAGACTATCTAACAAGTTATTTTTCCCACTTAAACTTTCAAAGGCACAAGCCCAACTCCCTCCCAACCATCCCCACTTGCAGATCTCTGTTAAGCGACTCATCAGAAGAACGCTGCCAGGTGGACGTAGCGGAGCTGTTTATAAGAAAGCTCCTACAACATGGCCATGTTAGTACAGGCCTGATGCCAGCAAACAGTAGGCGCTGCAGCCTTCAAAGCACTAAAGGAAGGGCCACTGGACTTCAGCCCTTTCCTACTAGCCTTTGCTAATGCCAATGGGACGCGCATTGCAAAATCCACAAGCCCCAAAGGGCATAGAGCAGAAAGCAGGGAAGTGACACACACCAAAAATCCTTGTCTGTGAGAGCCAGTCACAGCCCACAAGGCAGAGAGCTGCAGCAGGGGCCACTCCCTCTGTACAGGGTGAGCTCAGAGACCGGAGACCTCTTCTGGGGCAGACTCAGCCCCTTCCCCCCTTCAAGGGTAACCACATACAGCACTGGAATGTGGGAACTTTATCCCTTAACTCCTGCTAATTGGGAACGTAAACAGCCTCAGTCTGTGCATGGCCATCAGCTGCTCCTTGAACTTCTGAACCTCAGAAATCCCCTCCCCTGCGCAGAGGGGCGCTGGCAGCAAAGGCCCCCGGGGACTGTTTCCAAGGCAGACATCACCCTGTAATCTGTTCCACCTTGTGAGGTGTTACGAGCAGCACAGTGCTGCATTCCATTCGCTCAGGGCCCACGATAGCATTTTTCACTCTGACTCAAATTTGCTTCTCCTCCCCCTGTGCTCAGCCCACATGTGGAAAGCGCCGACCACCCTCGGATCTCAGTGACATCGTTGCAAATCCACCGGAGCCTGCAGGATTAGACTGCATTTACACCTGTATAAGTGACAGCAGAATCTGGCCCACATTACACACACGCAGCCTGGACAAACTTGGTACTTGGGATCAGATCAAGGGGTCAGATTTACAGCACGCTGGAGGTGTTTGGGGACTTGCAGTGATCTATATCTTGGCAGGTGGATGGCACTTATCCCAGACATATACTGGCAGTGAGAGTTATTTTCCCATCCCCTGTGGGTGCGTTTGAAATAGCAGCAGGGTAGAAGGAGGAAGAGCTATAGACACCCACGTTCGTTCTGAAAACTCGTCCATTAAAACAGGAGAAAAGAAAGTTATTTTTAGACGTAGCAGTAGAATCATCAGCCAGGGGAGTGAGGAAGGGGTTTGTGAGAAAAGACCCGATACAGAAAAGACTTGTGCTGGAATTATCTTTATAAAAGAACATAGATAGAAGAACAGCCCTGCTGGGTCGGGCCAATGCTGCATCTAGCCCATTAGCCTGTCTTTTGACGGTTAGGCAGGTTGATTTTTATCCACCCTGTCAGAAACTATGATTTAAAAAAACAAAACAAAAAATCCAATTTTTTTTAATTTAAATTGGATTTTGTTGATAAAATGCTTTTTGAGAAAAAAAACTATCTAAAGATAGTTTTA